AATATCACGAAAACTAAATGAGATATCAACAATCCAAGGACATGTGGTTACAAAGGAGGTTATGCGCAACGCAATGCTGCCAACCGCATACCACTAAATATCTCCACGAGCGCGTAATTCAAAAAGTTCAATTTATTTTAACAGACCTCGTATAAGAGGTATTTAGTATTGGGCAGGTAAAATATTTCCTATTTTTATAATTCCAATAAATCAGCCATAAAATTCTGCTTGCATTCTTTTATCACATCTAAACACAACATTAAAGTTGTTTATAGACAACATAGTTGAAATATTTTTTCTCAAACATGCATATGTCGTAATTTTCAGGAGTCTTCGGGGTTCGATGTTTATGTTTAATTAAAAAGAAAATATCCAAAGGAAACGTAAATATTCTAATACAACTAGAATATACTCACGCTCAGGTTTTTCCAGATTGTATATTACTTCTGCTTCCTGCTAAGTGTTATGCAGGGTATTAACAAATTTGAAGAGAGTAAATAAGCCGAGGTGTAAAAAATATGTTTAGTAAAAAAAATATCTACTGACTTACCACTCTTTATCAACTATCTATTATTGAAATAGTTATTTTAATAATCAACGCTATATGAAATGTAGAACTACAGGGTGTTTGGAAAAGTTGATAGAAAATTTAAGGTGAAAATAGAGCCAAAAGTAGTACAAAAAGTTCCTACACAAACATTGGTCATCCGGAGCACCGTTACTGAAATATGGCCCTCGAAAGGAATCTTATCATTTGGATATTTTTTAAAATAACTTTCTTTCTGATTAAGGAGTACAGAGGTACGTCTAAAAGTCTAACGAGAGTTTCTGTACATTCGCTAGTTACTTAAGTAGTAAGCCTTTAGATTTGGCAACGTTGCACTTGGCTGGCTTTGTTTGGATGCCTAAGCCTGAAATATACACCATATGTCACACCTGCGAATTTCAAATAATACGCTACGTCGAGAACCGCTGCGTTGCCGCTGTCACGCATATGGATAAGATTGCCTTATATCAGAGAAACGTTGCCGATACTCTTTTTAAGCCGCCAAACTATTTCCCTTACAGAAACCATAAATAAAATGCATATCGGCATATTCACGGTTAGTAAAAGCATGATGTTTCATGGTTGTAAAAAAATCGAATGAAGTGCAAAGTCAAGCACAAATATTACAATTAAGAAACGTATGTATGAATTTAAATGATAGCACGCGAAAGTGACAATCATTAGTATCATTACAATGAAACTGAGCCATACATTATTTAAAAAATAATTATTTCTGACTAAACTACGCAGAAGTCGAAAAAACAGTAGGGACATTTTTTCTTCAAAAAAGTCAAATTCATTAAAAAATACTATTATTTGCTCCATAATTCAAAAGAATAAAAAAATTCGAAAAATTTTTGTTAAGGGTAGTTAGAAAACTATCCTTATTTATAACCGATTTTGATGAAACTTATGATAGTTAAAGATCCTTATGGTATGATTATTACCTACAATTTTCATTCCGTTATCTTAATCAGAAAGAAAGTTATTTTAAAAAATATCCAAATAAGATTCCTTTCGAGGGCCATATCTCAGTAACGGTGCTCCGAAGGACCTATGTTTGTGTAGGAACTTTCATACTACTTTTGGCTCTACTTTCACCTTCTTAAATTTTGTATCAACTTTTCCAAACACCCTGTAGTTCTACATTTCATATAGCGTTAATTATTAAAATAACTATTTCAATAATAGAGTGGCAAGTCAGTAGATATTAGAAATATTCTTTTTAAAAAATATATTTTTTCGCACCTCGGCTTATTTACTCTCTTCACATTAGTTAATGCATACAATATACAAAGTAATATACAATCCAGAAAAACCCGAGCATGAGTATATTCTAGTTGTATTAGAATATTTAGGTTTCCTTTGAAGATATTTTCTTTTTAATTAAACATAAACATCGAACCCCGAAGACTCCTGAAAATTACAACATATGCATGTTTGAGAAAAAATATTTCAACTATGTTGTCTATAAACAACTTTAATGTTGTGTTTAGATGTGATAAAAGAATGCAAGCAGAATTTTATGGCTGATTTATTGGAATTATAAAAATAGGAAATATTTTACCTGCCCAAAACTAAATACCTCTTATACGAGGTCTGTTAAAATAAAATGAACTTTTTGAATTACGCGCTCGTAGAGATATTTAGTAGTATGCGGTTGGCAGCATTGCGTTGCGCATAACCTCCTTTGTAACCACATGTCCTTGGATTGTTGATATCTCATTTAGTTTTCGTGATATTGTTATTTGAATGAAGTCAGTGACGATTTTTAAAATGTGCGTTTTTCTGGAACAACGAAGCAACGTAAAAATTTGCGTGAATCTGGGGAAAACTTCCAGGAAAACGTTTCAACTTTTGAAACAAGCTTACGGAGATGATGCTCTGGGTTGTACGCAATGTTACGAATGGTTTTCACGATTTAAAAGTGGTCGTCAGCCAATTGAACTCCCATGTTCAAAAAGTTAAAGATCTGGTGCGTGCAAATCGCCAATTGACTGTTATAGAATTTGCAGAAGAGGTTAGCATCTCAATTGGGCATTGCCATGATATTTTGACTGAAAAATTGAACATGCATCGAGTTGCAGCAAAATTAATTCCTTGTTTGAAGCCAAAACAACAGAAAGAAAATCATGTGGATGATTGTCGGCAACCCTTTGAACAATCCAACGACGATGAAACATTCATTCAAAGGATCATAAAGGACATAAGACGACATTGAGACAAAAATTCAATCCTCTCCTCACAATGGATTGGCAAAGTATCTCCACGCACAAGAAAGCACGTCAGTCTCTATCCAATGTCAAAGTGATGCTCACTGTTTTTTTTTTCGACTTTAATGGAATTGTGCAGATTGAATTCTTGTCTCAAGGTGAAACAGTGAACTTTGTGTACTACCAAGGCGTTTTACAATAGTTATACATGAAAAAATCCGTAAAATGAGACCATGCAGAGTTGTGGCGAGACAGTTCGATTATTTTCTAAACAGACCTCGTATAATCTGACTGAAATATATACCGCTGACAAATGAACGTACTTACAAAATTCTTACGAGGATAAAAGCGATTTAATAAAACCACCCCCGTTAAAAATAGGTATGACCTAACGGGGAAAACGCTGTTCTAAATTTATCTATTTGTATAGATATCAAAACAGGAAACTGTCCGTGTTTCGTGTTGTTTATCGTTCGAAAAGGAGATAAATAACGGGAAAACCTGTGTTCATCTATTTCTTGCATCGAGTATGTTTAGCTACAGTCTGTTGGGTATTGTAAATATTTTGGAAATTAAGGAGTCGTTTCGTGAACCTAACGGAAACATTTCTTTAACACTGAAAAACAAAACCTGCATGCCTATTCCTTACCTCGCATCTCAAAATTGAAGACGAAAGAGGATTAGTAGTATATTTGAGAAGATTGTAATAAATTTATGAACCGCTCGTTCACGAAGTTCATGTTTTGGAGATATTTACAGTGTTACATAAAAAAATATTTCCGATGTGTATTTTTTTAATGTTAACACTTGATATATCTTTTACTTCCAGTGGCATACTTATTTTTTAAATAATTCTACCTTTTTCGAAGTACAGATGTTACATTATAATGGAAACCATAGTTGGCCACGACTTTCCAAAAATATACACTTTACTTAGTTTGCCACATTTATTAAGAATGAAAAATCAGTTTCTTTTTTTTTACTTAAAATTAGATATATAAAGATAATTAGCCTAATATAATATTCAATATTGGCTTTAAACACCAGTTTAATTAGAAAATCTACAGTTTTTTGTAAGATAGGCACATTATAAAACATATGTTTATTATAAAACCAAAAGTCCAAAAACACCACAGAAACTGTCAATTTCGACAAAGACAGAATCTATTGCAGCTCGACAAACAGAAGATAATATGCGATTAAGATAAAAATAAGCGTAAACTTTATTTCTATATTGTATTACGTCTGTCATCTTAATATTTGGCGACCCTTGTAGGTAATAAAAAAAAAACGAATAATATTTCAAACAGATCGGATCACAGATAAATCAATATGTCGGCAGTGTAAACATAAAAATCACAAAGTATGTATTTACTTTCAGATAAGGATATTACCTACCCATTGCTTTAGAGGGAATTCCAAAGTTTAAGAATTTAAAATGCACTTTGTGGTTTCTTTTACTTTATTTCTATATTCCCCTTAAAAAAATGATTACCTACTATTTATTCTATGTAAATACATCCACGATGAAGTTGTTTGTTACATTTATGGCATCAAGATCGTGTCGGTATTGGAAAATATAACGCGTAGTAAGTTAAATCGCAATATTTTTCGCATTTAAATATCTATTTGGATGCTTTACGTGCACGACATACGTATTGGTCACTGGGTGTCTACAGGACATGTCAAAATTCATAATCAATACGATTTAGTTGCTGATGTACAACTTTTTTGTTACACTGCCTTTAGTGCCTTTGTAACTACTTCTTCGGATTCTTCAAACGGCTCTGAAGTTTTCCAATTAATAAACAGCAATTCGATAAATATATGTATCAGGGGATGTTTGAATCAATCTTGCTACAACTGCAATATTCCAAAAATCCGCTACATACGAATTTGTCAAAAAATTTACCCCCAAAATCCAGAATACTAACTTTATTTTGTTTCGTTGTAATGATAATGCGTGAAAAAAAAACTTTTACAATAAAAGCCATGAAATCTGAGGCGAAAATGGAATTAAGAAACTACATTGTGTCGCCCCTCTGGTTTTTGCTGAAGCAGGAGCAGAGATCGACATGCCATTCTTCCTCTGTGTTGAAAATGGCCGACCAACGAGGAACACAGTTAAGAGATCTGTGAGGGATCACACTGATCACAGACAATACTAATAAACATGTAATGAGGGTTACATGTCAAAAACCATGAAAATTTTTAAGATCTAGTGATTTTCACCCACTAACCTCATATTTAACACCGGCGAGCCGTAACCAGGTCTCCACTTTGAGGCAGTAAGGAGACAGGGATGGCAGCAGAGGAGTGCGAGAGAACTGGTACAGATAGACCACGTCCTTTTCGAAGTTCGTCTTATGCACTACAACTTTCGGGGGTGCCGGCTCCTTCTCTTTGGCTGCGGGAGCGTCCCCGGCGCTCTCCTGTTTCCCGGCGGCGGCCTCGTCCGCCTTGTCGGCGGGCGCTTCCTCCTTGATCTCCTTGGTCTCGACGGCCGGCACGTTATTCTCTACCTCGGTGGCCATCGCTAGTTCGACTACGGATACAACGGAGACGGTAACACTGAACAGAACACGCGACCACACAAGAACGGCACAATGATAACAGCGAGCGACTCGATAACCGAAGTGGCAGCACAGAAATGCGAGGGGGCCGAGGACCGAGCCGGGCAAGGAATCGCGTTCGCGTGACGTCACTCTTCGGCTCGGCAAAAGCGACGCTGGCTTCGCCCCCACCCTCGCATCGCGCCTTGTTGCCATGCACATGCACCGAGCCCCACCCTTTTATTCATCTCTTGTGTTCGTTCTGTGGACATTGACCCATCCGAGTTTAGCTACAGGGTGTCTTCGTTCGACGTTTCCATGTACAGAGGGTTAATTTTGTCACTGGATGGCATGCCTCTAATGGCCATTTCCACCAACTTTCAATTAAGCAAATAGGTTAGATTTGTTTAACTAAGGAACGAATGAGATCCTGCAATGGTTTCCAACAATTGAATTTCACAAATAGGAAATGAAAGACGCTTGCAACAACGTAAATCTTAGATATATTTTCTTGTGGATGCCCCGATTCCTAGAAATTTTGAAATTTGACGCTTTAAAATTGGATGAAATCGTTCAAGTTAGATTTTCTACATATGCTGTAACCCGCAGAGTAGTTGATTCCTACAATTTAGCTACAACACATTTATTTAGAGATCGCACTTTAACAGTAGATACAAAGTAACTTTGTAGGTTATATCTCGCCCACAAGACACTTATTTCATGTACATTATGAAATTAAATAATTTACTGGGAAATAAAAGAAATTAATTAAATGCAACTATTTATTCAAGTTAGTGAGAACATGTGAAAAAAACAGAAATATTTCATTTAACAGAACAATTTACACTACATCTAACAGAACAATTAACATATTTTTTATTCTCAAAAAACAACAAACAGAATCGCATTAAGCGAAACAAACCGTGAAGAACGAACGTCTTTAAAAAATTAGAACACCTGGGAGTCTTCTAGTATGAAGAACTTTTCTATAACTTTCCTTAAAGCAACTTGGTTCACTTTACTAAAACAATAAAATGTGTTTGCACATAAACATTAAAAAGTCGAAATGGGAACTTTACCTATTCTTCTTCCCAACAAATACGTTAAAATTTTCCAGCTGTGTAACGAGCTTGTTGCGGTGGCTTTCAGACATAAATTTTAATATTTCAAAAGGTAACTGGCCACGTTTATCAAGATAATACAACACAAATCTAAAAATGAAAAGATTTTAAAAACAACGTGCAACTCATATTTATTTATTTAGAGGCTACATTAAATTAAATATTGATCGATTCATCAGACTTCTTATCAAGAAGAGCACGATATTCTTACAAATTGAACTCATTAAAATTGTTCCTGGACTAATTAATAGAAAGCCCCCAACTGAATCGAAAGCAGCTCATTTAGAGCAGTCTGCATAACAGTCGAACGTAGAAGAAGAAGCCGACAAAAATAAACCTAACCTGAGTAACCTGACATATTGAAATATTTGTATGCATTGTGTATGTATCTAGCCGGTACAAAGCAAATTTTACAGTATTATATTAACATAAACTATTAACTAAATAAACTGAATTTTATGCGAAATGTCGGGATACAGACCGATTTACACCGCCGACGAAGACACAATCATCCTGAAATTCATCATTGCAACCCAAAGCTACTATCAAATCCGTGGCAAATCTCTGTGGGAGGATATGGCCAATAGTGGCTTAATTGATAGGACCTGGATGAGCCTCAAGGAACGCTTTGATAAACATATACTGCCCCGGATCAACGATTCCAGATTCGATTTATCAGCGACGGGAAAAAAACACATTGAACTGGGTCACTACCAACTGAGTTTAAAGATTGACGATGTGGATGAAGACGATGATTCGGGTGCCGAAATCTCAGTTGATAGTGACAGCGATGAAGAGGATACAAAGAATTAGTAAGTCAAAAAGTCGTTGAAACATAATTATGCTGGAATGCTTCCTACAATATTTTATCGTTTTCAAATGAAGTTTGAACAAATTATTATACAATACAATGAGAGTTGACAAAAAAAAAACATAGACATTGTTTTTCTTTTCAGAATCAGGAGATGAAGAATGGATGTCAGGGTTAAGTTACAGAGACTTCGAGGATCGCTATACTCGAGATATCATGTCCGATATCACCTAAGTGGCAGAGTTGCCTTCAGTAGATTGAAGACAGTTACAAAAAAAAATCATGGTTACTCTGCATTATAGGAAAAATATATAAACATGATGGTTAACTCCTGACAAGATACTAATATAAAGCATTCACATTTTACCATGAACATTATTTACATTTTGGCATGTATACAATGTTTTTTTTGTTATTGTTATATTTCAATAAATACAAAGTCCATTTCAGACATGCCTCATGTACTGATCACACATATTAGAAGCCATAATTGAAGTAATGTACAAAGTCCGGCTATTATGTATTCAGACTGACTTTCTTGTGGAGAAGTGCGTGGCGCTATCTATCTGTGGTCACCGGAACTACGTAGTGGGAAGCCTTCCAACTGACCAAACAAAATTTCATCAGTTATAACGTTTTGCGTGAAACATGTTTTTGATAGTTGTCAAACACACAACGAACAGCGTACGGCAGTCAAGTCCTGTTTTGAAAGCTGATAAAACGTCCGATCAATCGTACACGGTCTGCTAATATTCTGATGGTCGATCGACTATCACTCTTCAGCACAGAGCGCCTAGCTTTGATGTTTTCGTTCGTACAGCTTGTGCGGGGACGCCCCGTCCTTCCAAGGTAGTGCACACTGTCTCAACCATCATAATACCTTCCGAACCACGGGAACACAACCGGACATTTTATCGGTTTTAAAAGAGAGCTTGATTGCTCTACGCTGTTCAATGTGCGTTTGACAACTATCAGAAACCCGTTACACGTAAAACGTTATAACTTTGTGGTATTTACATGCATACTGAAAAAATTTTGTTTGGTCACTCGGAAGGAAGAACTACGTAGTTCCGGTGACTGTACATAGATAGTGCCACACACTTTGCCACAATAATGATTGTGGATGTCTTGAAAGTATTTGAATGACCAACACGAGGAATTATCAAAACGGAAGTTTTTCTACACCTTTCTACAAAGTAAATAATAAGCATAAGGAAATATGACGGAATACAGTACAACTCCAATCATCCAAACACGCCTTTATCCGAATATCTAATAATTCGACTGACGAAAAATTCTAGAAATTATATGAACAATGTTGTGCTACCACACATTTCGATCCGAAATAATTTTATTTTTTAAATTCAGTTGTAAGCGATTTATAGATGTATTCTTGAAACATGAAAAATTTATTACGGAAAAGACCCAATATCGGCAATGTAAAAGGCAGGAAGGAATATCAACGAAATTTTAAACCCTGCTAAAAGATGTAAATAATGTTATTGGCAGATTACCTGATTCTGCAGAACAACAGCCTTTCGTCGGACGAAATCTGGTACAACGCAGCATCTTTGTCGCTGCACTGGATGCAAACGAAATCGGCCCTGCGGGCGTCTTCCTTGCTCAGATAACCGTGACAGGGCGCGTGGTACTGCCTCTTGCAGTCCAAACACTCGATTATGTCTGCATCTAAGGGCATAGTCAACTGGCATAGGCAGGCGTAGTGCGCTTCCGTCATCTCTATACTGTTTTCACTCAATATGTCAACGTCTAGAAATATTAGTAAGCATATAGTATATTTCCAGAGGGGAAGCGCACTCTTACGAATTTTCGAGACACTTTTAATAAAAAAAAAATATTTTATGAAGCCATGACCAGTGATCAAATTTGTGATAAAATTTACCAAAATTCAGAAAATGTCAACGGGTTTTGTCGAGTAAAAACTAGTAAATTTTCTCATTTTTCAAGAATTCTCAAAATTTCGGGGAAAAATACTGAGACAGATTGATTTATTGTTGTTTTGTGTCATCTTTTGCAGGCGTTAATTTTTAGCAAATTTTTTTTAACAAAAATATTTATCATAAGACCACATTCTAACCATGCAGTAATATATTGTCTTAGTGCATAAATTTGTCGTTAGTTACGACGATGGATCTTGTAAACTTTGTAATAATTGTCCGTCAATGTAATATTTCTAATTCACGTACCACAGAATCTATATTTTAATAAAACAAATATAGACTATCGATTATATCCAAAAAAACAGGGTTAAAAGGAACTACCTGTATGACGTTCAAGAATTTTATTGCATGAATCGTTCAAAGGGTCATTTTAAATGAAAAAACCACGGAGTGCTATTAAATTAGAGGGTGAAAATTGGAGGTAGGGGTGAGAATACACCCCTTTCAGTTTAATTTTAGCTCGAAAATGAAGCAAAATTTTGGTATAATTCATAGGAAAAATTATTTAGAGAATCCCATCCCATCGACATGGCTTATTTGAAAAATTTAAAGAAAAATTTTATGCAAAAAATCGTTAATAAACAATTTTAAAAAGAGCAAAAAATAAGATTTTTTGTTTTTTTGACTTAAGTTGTGAAAATCTTCATTTATTATTAACAAATAAAACTTGAAATAATTTTTTATTAAGTAATGAACTAATTTGTTGTAAAAATAATAAGAATTATAATCATTATTATGTTAAAAACGAAGAAGATCTAAAAAATATTTAAGTTTGACTGGTTATAATTCAGTCAATATTAGTCCAAAAATTTTTGAAGGGAATCTCATCTAGTTTTTTTGTACAGCAATTTTCTTTGCCTACTTCTACTAAAAAAAAAATTTGAGTCAAAAAAAGTAAAAAAAAATCTTATTTTTTGCTTTTTTTAAATTGTTTATTATCGATTTTTTGCATAAAATTTTCCTCTTAAATATTTTAAATAAGCCTTATAACTTTTCCTATAAACTATAGCGAAACTTTGCTTCGTTTTTGAGCTATAATAAAAAAACTGAAAGGGTGCATTTTCACCTCTTTCTCCAATTTGCACCCTCTAATTTAATAGCAACCTGCAGTTTTTTCATTTTTAATGACTCTTCGAACAAGTCATGTGATAAAAATCCTTGAACGTTTTATTTCCTTCCTTTTTTTAAAAAATGAGAATCAAAACGTTTAAGGGTAAACGCGACGAAAATAGAAAAATTGGCTAATTGTAAGTTTGAGCGGCCATACATTCATTTTCTTTATGAAGCAATGCCTATACCTATCTTTACTCAAAGAAAACTAGAAGCAAAAAAGTAAAAAAAATAAAAAAATGAAATTTTTTGCTTTGTTTTCAAATTGTTTATTAACGACTTTTTCCATAAAATGATTTCAAATCTGAAACTCTCAGATAGTATGGAATAATCTGAAAAGTAGTCAATAAAAAATGATGGATGAAGTTTAATTAAAAACCGACAAAAATTAATTTTCATTAAAAAATAAACTTTATGGATAAATAGAAAAGAAAAAAATAGAAAAAAAATATATACTTGCAAAAATTGTAAATATAAATTTATGTGACATTAGCTGAATATACACGAGCAGTTTTATCGACCAATTTGACCGACTTATCGTTGAATTGCATAAATTGTAAAGACAAAACTGCTAGTTTGGGTCATCAAGGAAAATTGTAAAATTCCAAAATTTTGGCGGATAAATTGCTGCCAAATAATTTGCAGGGATTATTTTGTCACATACACTAACACAGCAATTAAACGGCAGATAAATCTGTCGTGAATTATCGGGCAATATTTTGTAGAGCGTCATCTGCGTGCTAGTACATGTTGGAGGAAATATCTGCGCGATACGTAAAATCGGTTAATTTCTGTCTTGAGTTCAGAACATACTACAAATTCAAATATGGCATCAAAAGAATTTATTAGTGGACTGATCGATTTATATCGTAATCACTCGTATTTATGGAAAACAACCTCACAAGAATATACAAATAAAAATATTAAAAAAAGACAGTTATAAGGAATTAGTGGCGTATTGTATTCTTTCCACAATAACCATGTTTTAACCCATTTTGTTCGCTTTTTATTTCTTCTGCGTCGTTTTATCACATAACCCATTATTGCAAGTAATAAAACGCGTTTAAAGTCGTTTTTGTTCATGTTTTCGTAGAACACTCAAGCAAATTACACTTAACAGTAACAAATAAATTGCTCTGAGTTTTTGGACTTCTGAAAGATCAAGGATGACAGAATAATCTTACCAAATTTAGAGATAAATCTTTGTGAGTGACACAGACGTAACGAATAAACAGTCAGATAAACTATAATTCGATTCAATAAAACTCCGCATTACTGTCCTGTCTAAGATTTGTCTGAAAGATTTTCCTTAACGATTTACATGACGATTATTTTGTACAATTTATCGCTCCAATAAGTCTTTGCGTGTGTATTCAGCTATTGACAGAAAAGTGTCAATAGCAAAGTTTAATTAAATTTGGATGTTCATTTTTTACTGTAAAATATTTTCTGGTGGTTTTTAAAGTCGGCTTTTCAAATAATTTTGTTAAAAAAATGAGTACTTTGCTAATGGCATATTCGACATTTTAATAATAATTATTATTATTTTAATGCCTTACATAAACAAATTTGACCATGGGCCATCACACATTGTCATCCCAAGATGAGCAACATTTAGAAAATTCAGAAGACTGCGTTACCCTACCCAAGGATGCTCGAGTTCAAATATTTCAAGCCTTTCCAAAAAAATAATTATATGTATTAATAAATATGACTAACCTGACACTGTGATATTGCTCGTATTAAATTTAGGAACCTCAATTTTTGGTTTGGTAATTTTCAGTGCAGGGTCCTCAGCCTCCTCCACATTCATATTTGCGACTAAGGCAATATAATATATCAATATATAGTATAACTATTTAAGTCATAAAAAAAATAATAAGACGAAAGGAATAACATTATTTTTTTTTAACTGAGGAATTGTACCTTGAAATACAATGGAATATCTCTTGGACGGACACCAATGCGGTCATAAAAAGAGTGACCGCAAAATACCTATGATTTTTGCCGGTTTTTTCACAATTCGCAGAGAATTTTAAAAAATACATAAAAATATGTTTTTGGTCGCAAATTACTTGACGTAAAAAACTGAAATGAGCATAGCTTTTAGTATTTTGAAAGAAAGAGAAAATTTTAAAACTTACCCCTACTTAGGGGTTGAAAAAATGCCGAAAATTAAGAATTTTAATATTACCAATTGATAAAAAAACTATTAGCATGTGAATTATTATCTTATTATATTTTTTTTGGAATTTTTACAATTATTTCTGATATTCTCTATTTTTGGATGATTCCACCCCCTGAGCACGCTTAAGGGTGGATTTTCTAATTCAACATGCGATATTTCAGTCATGAGAATAAATCTTTCTTTGTATCAAGAATCATTCGGTAGAAAAATTCACATGCTAATAGTTTTTATATTTATTATTAATATTCAATTCTTCATTTTGGGAGTCTTTTCAACCTCTAAATAGGGGTGACTTTTGAAAATTTTGAAAAAACTAAAAGCTATGCTCATCTTAATTTTTTACGACGAGTAATTTGAGACCAAAAACATATTTTTATCTATTTTCTTCAGTTCTCTGCGAATTGTGAAAAAACGGGCGATTTTTGCGGTCACTATTTGTCCGTAAAAAGGAGGTATCCCTCTAACGGGAAATCAGATTAAACAGTTTAATCTGACTCGAAAAGCCTTACCAAAAAGATTTAATTTAATAAATACAACTAACCTGACACTGAGGTATTATTACTATTCAATTTAGGAGCCATAATATTTGGATTAGTAATTTTCGGAGTAGGGTCCTCAGCCTCGTCCTCATTCTCGCTCATATTTTCGACTAAGGCAATGTAATATATCAATATACAGGGTGTTACATATTAGTAGGTCAACCAGTCAATCACATATTCTTTAGATTCAAATAATGGAACTTTTCTTAAACCACTTCTCATTTCGGAGCTCCATTTTCAAAATACAGGGTGTCAAAATTAAAATTTAAAAAATGAATTTTATTGATAACTCCGGTGATTGTGGAGATATTTATTTGAAATTTAGCACATAATCACGGGAGTTATCAATAAAATCATTTTTTTAATTTTAATTTTGACACCCTGTATTTTTAAAATGGGGCTCCGAAATGAAAAGTGACATAAGAAAAGTCCCATTATTTTAGTCCAAAGAATATGTAGTTAACTGCTTGACCTACTAATTTGTAACACCCTGTATAGTAACTATTTAAGTTATAAAACAAAATAATAAAAAAGAAATAATCAATCAATCAACTGAGGAATCGTACTTCTAACGGAAAATTAGATAAAATATATTTTCAAAAAATGATCACTAAAACAGCGAAAATTTTCTGAGATGGCATTTCCCGGCAGCCGATTTTACACCTTAACTGCGTAATATGCAAACATTTCGTTATTACTGATTGACAATTTACAAAGTAAAAAAAATCATCACCTGTACTTTGCTCAAAAGGATCCTGCCTAGTTTCGACCTCTTTCGCTAAACCTTCCGAGGTAACCGACAAAAGAGCTTGATCGTTTAGCTAAAATAATAATTCGATTTCACTATCTTGTGTCTGTTACGTTAAATACAAATATACGGGGTCATTCTTAAATTGCGTAATATTTTTTACCAAAAACAGGTTCAAAATGGGAGAAACGAATTTCGAATCCAGACAAAGACACGATAACAAATGTTCGAGAAATTGCATTTTCTGAAACTGGAAAAATGTGATTCAACTTAGGAATCACCCTGTATATAGTAATTTTAAATGGAAAAATATTAAAAAAGAATTTTACATCAAAAAACATTTATTTTGAGGTTTGACCTTCCGCACGCAATAAAAAAAGACGTTAGTAAGTTTATTTTAATAAATTTAACATCGTCGAATTATTTTTAAATTTCTTTGCGGCATGATTGTTTTCAAATGAAAATGTCAAACTCTACAAATTTTTTTTGATTCAAAGCTTCTGCGCAAGGTAAGGTTATTGTAACAGAACCAATCTACTTACCGCTAGAACCATTCTGCTTACTGCTTCTCCACCTCCATAGCACGTTAATTTATGATACCCCGTATTCAACATTCCTAAGTGAATGTTGCAGGTGGAAGCATGCAAGCAATATTTGTCGACAGAGGCTTGAAAGCCTGGCGGTTCATAGTGCCTCGGTGTCACTAAAAGAGCAACGATCACATCAATTGAACATTAATTACTTTTTATGTCAAAATGTTATCAACATGGACCCTTGAAGATGCAAATAGATTAAAATACGAATTATATGCTACGATACTTACTGTCGAAGTACGTCAACTCGATTTGAACTTCTGTGTTCTCGTTCAATTTTTCGTTTTTATTTAAATTATTGATAACTTGAAGAAACTCTAAAGTGGCCTGTTTTACATGAGAAGGAGTACGCCTGCTCTCCTTGTTATCGTCATTATTATATTTCAAAGAAAATTTGTATGTCTCAATAATCTCATCGTTTGCTGGATTTTTCATAAACAGAAATGCCTCTTTAAGCTACAAAAATTCTTTTTCGTAATATCCGTGCATATAAACTAATAAAAGCAATAAAGTAGATCACTTACATAGTTTTTATCGATGGCATCAGCAATCCCTTTGATCCATGCAAGGTAATGTCGCAGCAATGGGTCTTTTACATTCTTTCTCTTAAGCACCATGACCGAAATGTCTTCGATTTCTCTTATCTTCAAATCAGATTGATTCAGCACCAAACGTTGATATAAAATATTTAAAACCGATGTGTTCATTACAGCTTGAGTCAGTTTTTTTGACATAGTGAAGGACTTGACTGCACTACACATCGCCTCACTTGAAAAGGTCTGAAATGTAAATGTTCATGCAGAAATTCTTGACTAAAATGTGAGTATATACAGAGTATCTTAAAATTGATGAAAACACGATCAATTAGCTTTAGCCCTTCATGTAAAAGCACAAGTGTTAATTTTGAGATACCCTATATAACAGTATTATAATTAAATAAATTATATATAAACCTGAAATGTGGCTAGTGACTATACATACTACATACCTACTAAATCTTCAATGCATTAACAAACATATTTTAAACATAGATTCAGAGATACTTACCACATCTAATATGTCCTGTTTGCAAGCCATTATCATGAATATTAATAAATTTTCAAGAGAAAACCAAAGCTAGTATTAACAGGAACAGGGGGTCTTAATACCAACACAAACAATTAAATCGCTGGAACAACAATCTAAAACAAATGAATTTTTGTCATGGATAACTTATATATTTCCTGTCAACCTACAGAAGTCATATAGATAACTAACTACAAACAGTAAATATTAAAATCTTTTTATGTATGCGATTGTATTTCTATTATTAATTTATAAAAAGCATTTTTATAAATTAGTTTGAAATAACTGCAAAGCGGGAAGGCGCTAACCTAACTTCAAATTTTGTGACATTTTAAGGGACGATCAATGGTAATTTAAAACACGATTAAAGACGGGAATTCCATGAATCAAAAAAAATTAATTGCGAAAATTGTGTATAAGTAAATGTTTGAATATTTACTTACCTAAAACTGCACAGCAGCGCGCACTGTAATGAGCAGGTGCCAGACTTGATCTTTGCGCAATTGGACCAATTGAAAATCAGATCGCATGTAGTAAACACCAATCGCCACGAAGCCAAACGGGCGCGAGATTTCAAATAAGCTTAGGCAGATTATAGACATACAAACTCTCAAAGCAAGCGAAATACATAGTGTGTTTCAAGCCTACGTCGTTACTCTAGGAAGCGAACGTTTATTCTATTTTTTTAAATTGCAAATTGTTACTTTACGAAAAATTAAAAATTTGTGAAAAATATACATATGAAAAAAAGAACATTTACAATATATATGCAACCTTTTTGAAGATTTAAAGACTGACAACTCCTAATTTAATTTTTTATGACCAAAATATCACCACTTTAATTTTCACCAGCCTACTAGGTTTAATTAATAAAAGAACATCAAAATAATTATTTTTTTATATCAGTTCAGTGAATTTTTACTTAAATAAATTATTAGTTTAATCAAATTGTTATCTTCAGAAATGTTTGAAAAAAATGTTTTATTTGTTTTAAAAATTATACATCTTGTATCTCGAAAACCTGTAATTTATGAAGCATATAAATATTTTTTTTTAATTGTGAATGGTTTTTGATATTTATATTAGATAAATACATATTTTACATTCAGTTTGAAAAATATTTCAAAGCTATAATAAAAGTCGAAGTGTTAACAAAAGAATTTATTGTGACACGGGGGTGTATAGAATCATATTCGGGTTGTACAAAAATACCATAATTATTTATAAATAATAAATACAGATGCATACATATATTACACAATCCTTTTAAACTTCAGTGTTAAAATTGTCTTAAAAAAATATTTTAAAACATACCTACACTATATTTCACATTCCTTAACCAAAAGTTCGTAAAAAACAAAACTGTTACTAAGATTAACTTTTAGACGGTTGTCCGGTGTGAGTCTCCAGCCAATCTGTCAACTAGCTGGAAAATAAGAATAGATTATTCATAGAAAAAAAGAATTCCGTATTAACATTTAAAACCAACTGGAGGTAAAAAAGTATTAGACAGATAATTCGATGAACTAAATGGACTTACACTACTTATACCCGGAAGATTTAAAAACGTTCCCAATATAGGTACTCTCCTCAAGAAATTTATGGCAACTGGGAAGAACCCACTGAAAGAAAATTTGATGTCATAATAAATTTTACCATAAACTGTACTGGTTCAGTTATTACTGCAAAATGTTGTATCTATACCTGAACAACAGGAAGAATCCGTAACACTCCGCTATCATCCCTAATTTTGGCCATTTTATAAGTACTAGTATAATTCCCCCAAAAAATGCCAACGACCCTCTAACTTTGTGCCTCTGGAAGAAAAATCTGAATGTCCGTTCCCTACCAATGACACACGCTAATCCAGACAAAAACAATATCTGAAAATAATACACAGCGTGTTAAAATTTTACAGGAAATGTTTCCGGGATGATGAAATGAAAACGTTAAAAGTATTTTCAGGCATATAATAAAGCATTTCATCGTGATATCCGTTGGTATAATATGTAAGAATAATAATAGTTTGTGTGTGAAAGTGGCAGCAGCTATATTTCAAATTGAAAACATATAAGCGGACTACAAAATAGTTAATATTTTAAGATTAATCAAAATTAAACTCACATTTCCTAAGGCTAACAAACTTGTATCAAAAATTAATAGGACTCCTAGGAAAAGGAAAAATATTCCGAACCCTGCCAATCCAACACCAATTTCTGAAAATAAGAGATATAAGTGGATAAGCATAATGTAATTAAAACACCTCACTTTGTGTATCTGTTACTTCAAACATTTTCCAGTAAAGGACTTAGTAACTTAACATTCAATAATTACATATATCTAGACGTATAACCTAGAAATTTACATCCACGTCACGAAAACCAACCTTCTGACAAGAGAAACCAAACTAATGTACCATATTTTACTTCTTACTTCTTGTTTATAATTCTTGGCTTAATTTTACTATACGTTTCACAAATAATAACGTTAATAAAATATAATACGCTACATAACAAAAGTATAAACCATTTTAAAACTTGACAGATACAAGACTTTTCCGTTTTCGTCTCCAACCTTCAATTTAAAAACTCTTCTTCTGCTTCTGCTCATTTTGAAACAGTCTCAATAGAAAACCAGAAGTGACTAAAATGCTCACGCTGCAGTTACGTAGTAGTTGAATTGAACACACCGTCGAAATTGAAAGTAGTTCCAGTTCCAGTACTGTTGATCGACGTCATATGCCGACGTCGCCGTTTGACTTTGAAGTGGGTCAGAGGTGAGACAGTGGCAGTGCATATGTAAATACCCATTTTCTCTAAATATTAAAATACCTATAAAACATTAATTCATAAATAAAATGCCAGTGTTCGTCGATCATAAAAGAAATTCAGAAAGTTTAATTAATTGCAATTTATTTGAATGTTACATATTTTAATATTTCGAGGAAATATTTCTACACCTATGTAGGTAATCTAGAACAAAGTTCATAATACGCATCTTTTTTTCATTTAGTTCAAGTTCAAATACTTCAATAGTGAACAATCTTGACCACTTCGTTTTATACTTAAGGATTTATTTACATATTTAATGAATTAATTATTTTGTTCTGATAACGATAAGCAGCTGGTTCGCATAATGAGGATAAATAGTGCTAAAAAACATACAGTACTGTGAATTTGGTATTGTATTTATACAATTTGGAAATGCAAAAGATGGCATCATATACATTAAATTTCATCATTTACTAGACATGGCATTAAAAAGATTAAAAGTAATAGAATTGGCTGGATTAGCTCCTGCACCTTTTTGTGGAATGGTACTGGCAGATTTTGGTGCAAATGTAATTCGGGTTGATAAGGTAAAAATAAATATATAAACAATAATCGATATAAAAACAAAAAAATGAATTTTTTACAGATTGATAACAATACTGACTTGGACTGCTTGGGCAATGGAAAAAAGTCCATATCTCTGAATCTGAAACATCCAAAAGGAGTCGATATATTAAAAAAATTATGCAAAACTTCAGATGTACTGATAGAGCCGTTTAGGGCAGGAGTAATGGAAAAATTGGGCCTAGGTCCGAAGATATTGTTAGAAGACAACCCTAGACTAATTTATGCACGGCTAACGGGATATGGACAAAGCGGCTCTTTCAGCAAGAGAGCTGGACATGATATTAACTACATAGCACTTTCAGGGTTATTGTCATTGATTGGAAGACGAGATGAAAATCCAATTGCTCCTGTAAATTTAGTAGCTGATTTTGGTGGTGGTGGACTGATGTGTGCATTAGGGATCTTAATAGCACTTTTTGAAAGGAGCACTTCTGGTTTGGGACAAGTTGTGGATAATAGTATGACACATGGTTCTGCTTACTTGGGTAATTGGTTGATTCGATCCCAGAAATTGCCAATCTGGGGACAAGAACGAGGAAAGAACGTTTTAGATACTGGAGCTCATTTTTATGAAGTCTACAAAACGAAAGATGGAAAGTTTATGTCAGTCGGAGCTTTGGAGCCCCAATTCTATAGTCAACTGCTTAAAGGCCTAGGACTGAGTGAAGATCTCCCGCAGTTTTGTGACAGTAAGGCGTCTGATAAGTTAAAACTCCTTTTTGCTGCAAAATTCTCTGAAAAGACACAGGAAGAGTGGTGTAACATATTTAATTCCATTGATGCTTGCGTCGCTCCGGTATTAAGCTTAGAAGAAGCAGCCAGGCATAAACATAATGTAGAACAAGAAACATTTGTGAAAACTAGTGATGGTTTTGTATCGAGTCCTGCACCAAAATTAAGCAGGACTCCTGGTATATCAAGTTCTACTAATGAAACTCCTAAGTGTGGTCAACACACTAAGGAGATTTTAGCAAGTTTAGGGTTTAACAATGAAAGTATAAATGAACTTGAAAAAGAGGGTATTATTAAGTGTTTTAAGATTTCAAGATTGTAATAATAGGGATTTTTATATATTTTGATAATTATATATACAAAAGTTAGATATAATATGGTATTACTTTATACGACACATTTATCAATTTTTCAAAAAAAATGTTTTGTTAATAGAGGTGTATATAATTATTTTTTGATGAACTATAGTTAAATTAGTGAAAAAAACCTATATTAAACATAGGTACAGGAAAAAATATCTTCATAACATTCATCACAACTTATTTTAGAATTAATTTTTTTCGAGATCTTACCAAATATATCGTTTCTTATCAGCTAAGTATACCCTGTTTTTTACCTTTTCCTTTGTTATGATAAAATAATTTAAATTTTGCAACACGTGCGACTGACAAAGGATCGCACTGTCTTTTTAAAGCGGTACATCGCTGTCGCATGTCCGCTTCAGTCGGATCTGTCCTCTGTCCATAGGAAAGATATGGGATTATAGATTAATCTCAAATATTAACTAGTTTTAACACCATTATCTTATCCTAATATTGTTTTGTGCACAAGTTGAAGCCTTCGAGCAGTACTATATGCTCGAATGTATATAGAAATGAATAAAAATCCAATCAATTTAATCAGTTCAGTTCTTCAGCACGAAAGAATACAGTATTATTGAAACGGAGATTACACATTTTCTATTCTGACGATATATGTGGCAACACTGGTTTCATCCGTCAGTTTTTTGCCACTGAACACAATTATTATTGTTATATTTGAATTTAAGGTTAACCAAGAATTTATTTATAGATACAGAAATAATATTAAACTAGCAATAAATTTTCTTATCGCTGGAAATAACGTACCTACTTTGTTATGAAATAATATTACAGTATGCTGCATTGTATCATCAGAGTGTTTATAAATTTGAAATGAACCCAACTGATAGAAGTGTTTCAATTAAATTTTAATGGATTTATTACAGTCTATTTTACGCACTTGCCGTGCAGAAGAATATACTGAAAACTTTAAAAGCAATGATATTGATGCATTTACTTTAAAAATTCTAAACGATGAAGATTTGAAAATCATAGGCATTAAAGAAGAAGATGTAAGAGAATCGATTTTAAAACAGGTGTCAAATTTGCAAATACCCTCCGAGTAAGTTTAAAATATTATTTTCATACGGGTCAATGAATATGCTTGAGTATTACTTGATCTCAAATTTCTTCACCTCTTTTAGGAAGAAAGTGGATATTATAGTTGATCGGCAATATGCTCTAGTGGTATTAAGTACTATGTCTATGCATCTCACCAAACATTTGGCAAATTTAACTTATGCCCTAAAGAGAGAAGATATAGACTTGTGCGATATAAAAGTAGCTCCAGCTGTAGATTGCCTACAACATTGCCTCATGTCTTTGGAACGGCGGTTATCAGAATTTGACAAAAAAGTAAGATTGGATATGCTACTGTATTCAAAATAAATAGCAAGCTTATTTTACAGATTTTCAACATGGAAAACAGTAAGAAAAAAAAATATCACATAGTTTTCCCGACAGTGGCGGTGACAGCACTGGTGTTGTTTGCTTGTGCAAGGTATTTTAAATATTTACATAAATAGAGTAGAGAATAATTTTTATCATATAAATGTAATTTCCGTTCACTAAAACTTACATACAGAAGAGACGCTATGCATAATGTATTTGTCAATTAAGTATGTTCAAAATATTTTAAATATATTTTGTTTACAAGTATATTTTGTTTTATTTCATTTAAATCATCAGAGATATACATAGATTGTGGTGGATTTGGGGGTAAAAGTAATTTTCCAAGTGAAATAGTGGACTTATTCATCATTCAGTCGCCTCAAGATTTTAGCATATTAATTTTTTTGTAAGCACTGTGTTTAGTTCGTGAATCTGTGGCCTTTAACAATGGCCTAGTTTAGGTGCTCTACAGATGAATCTACATTATGTGATACTACAACGAGAAGTGCCGTGATTGCCTAAAATATTGCCACCAAAAAAAATCACACTGGGTTGTTTTGTCACCAAAATAAAACACAAAAATAAAGAATCAAATATTTAATACTAACATAATTAAGGCGTGATACAATGTTATGTATGTCGCCTTAAACAAGCATGACGCCCTCTACAATCCAGAGGCAAAAATAGAAAGGCACTGTTCACTTGGTCTATCGTTTTCGTAATATAAATATATACCCATCTTTTACCGAAACTGTTATATACAAATTAAGAATACTAATTAAAATTTATTCGGAAATATATAAAATTAAAATACTACGTTAAGTGATCATTTCATATCATTCCTGAGTGCAAAGAAACAAACTAATAAAAGTAACGCGATATTCAAATCTAACCCATACTATAGTGTAATGACTAAAATAAGACCAGTTATATAGATTCTCACAAAAGATAGTTTGGTTTTGATAACTCTCATTTAACAACGGTGCGTTTTGCACAGGCGACTTTTAGATCCTATGTATTTGACCATACTTCGTTGGCAAAAATAAAATAAAATATACATTATTGAGCTGCAATCTATTACATAATTTTTTAAATTAATTTATATTGCTCGACGATTTTTTATCTAATTCACCAATTACTCGTAAACTAATTTTTTTAGAAAAATTAGTGTCTAACTTTTTCATTTATGTAATAAGATTCGCCTTTAATTTTTGCTTTACCAACAAAAAAAGATATCGTTGCAAAAGTCGCTTGTGCAAAATTGCAGTCATACCTACGTAATTCTTTTTAGGTAATAATGAATAAATACTCTTTTAAATAAAAAATAATTATACGAAATAATAAATATAAAATTTACACATTATATAATAGTGAGCCGGTTGCACGTTTTTAACAAAGTCGCTTAAAAAGATTCGTGGCAACTGAAAATCCGCACGGATTTAACGAGCGAAAGTACGTATGGTATAAATAATGATACGGTTAGACATAAATAATGATTAATGTGAAGCGGGCGATGTTAAACTCAGATCATGAAGCAAACGTCGGTCGCCACCCGCGGGTTTTTCAGTTACCCACGAAACTCGTTTTCTAAACATAATAATCGAAAAACTAATATTGCAACCGTCCCCATTTCGTTACGTAAAAAAATAACAGGTTTAACATGATGCGACGTCCATCACGTCTTTAACATCTCTGTATAAAAAAATCCATACAGAAAACTTGAAATATACAATTTACAAAAAAATGAAATCTACTATATATCTATTTCATATAATATATACAATTTTTTGGTATTTTATTTTATAAGGGTCACCTTAAGAAGTGCACTTAATGTTAACAGTTTAATAAATCAGCTAAAAAAAGAGGGACCGCCTCGAATCATTCATTGTCGCAAAAGATCGCTCCCCACGATGACTTGACAACTATTTCCTAGCAGTTCGTCGCCGGTACCTTCGACAGTACGGAACTTAGTCGTTTGTCGTGACAGCGAAGCACAAAATCTTTTTCATACCAATTTGACCGTGTCTGGGAAAACGAAGAATTTTGGCAACTATTTCATCGTTTTACTTCTTTAAAAAGACGAATCGATTGTCGTTTCTGAAAGACGATATTTTCCCGACCATTCCAAAACTTACACAATGAACTCGTCTCCTTAAAGAAACAAAAAAACTGACGTCGTTGCTAACGTGATCCGTTTCTCAAATGTACAGTATCTTAAACTTCAATTTTTTTTCGGAAGAGCAAATTTATTCTATTTTAAATGACGTCTGGCAATTTTAGAAGTTGACAAAGGACAAAAAACATTTGAACATCGTGATCAACAAAAGTTAGAAAAAACACTAAAGACGTCGATTTTCGATGTGTTTTGGGTGAACGTCTTAAATGAACCACTCAGTATAAGGTATGGAATTTAGATATCAATATGACGATGGGTATAAAATATACAATTTTTTCATAATTGTTTTGTATAAAATATAATTTTTAGAATGAATGGATTTTCAATAATTTTCTCATGATTTTACTTTTTTTTTATTATTTTATTTCTTAACAGTAATTTAATCATTTTTTTAATCAATAACCTAATTTTCTAAAAAAAATAACAATTTATACAGGATGTCCAGGAAATGATGAGTAACCTTTTCGATCTCGGTAGGACTTGCAAAATTAATAAAAATGACAAGTTTATATAATTTTTTTTTTCACTCATCTTGTATCGAGTCGAAAATCGATTTTTCATTATAACTTTTTGAATAACTTTATTTTTTTAAGCAAGATCTATGTTACCACAACAAACCCTTTTCGAGATAAACGCTCGTCACAATGGAAATAATACTTTTTCTGCGGCAATAAAAACACGAAAATAAAAATTTGATATCTTTGCAGTGAAATAAATATCAAATGTCGTTTGACGTGAATTTATTTTGCTGCATAAAATACCAATCACCGTATCCAAGTTTTTATTACCATTAAGACGTCGGAAATCGTATTTACCTCAAAAAGCGGTTCCTTGTATCGATAATAAACAAGTAATCTTTTTCGTTGTGGAAATAATTTCAAAGTTTAACGAGAAACAAAAAAGTTACGATGGGAAATTAATTTTCAACTTGAAGGGCTCTTAACTCATAAGGGCGGGCCCGAATAAAAAAATTTATGAAAACTTGTGATTTTATTTTTACAAAGCCTACTGAAATCCGAAAGATTGCCCACTATTCCCTGAACATCCTGTACAACTATTAAATTTCCTTATAAAAATTAATTTTTTGATATTAATTGCCTTAATTTAAATGTTTTTGATTTAATCCAATATTTACGATTTTTTTGATTTTGCAAATTCTCCAGCTCAAAAAATTGCAACGACCAACCCTCCGCACTGCCGTCGGCAGCTACGAAACCGGCAAGAAATCTATCACAGCCAGAGATTTGGTTTCAAGTTCCGCTAACAATTTAATATCACACCGCCCCCCTCGACAACGAATGGTTCCGGCACCTAAGACACCAACAAAACCTTTCCTAAACAAACAATTTCGCCTTGCTCTAACATTTTTTTTTATCACATTTAGAATTTTCCGGCCTCGAATTTTTGACTCTAGCCTTGCGTACGTCGGATACGCGCAATACTGAACGAACAGAGTCAAATCTGCAAACCGTATGTAGTAAACACCTACATCAATTTCCTAACGAAACGGAATAATTACAAAATTCCATTAACTAGCGCTCGAGTCTACCGTTGCACCTTCTTCCTGCCCCTCTTCGTCGTCGTCGGGGCGGCGGGGACAGCCTTTCTCATGATTTTGGATTGGGGTGTGTCAGGGTCGACGCGGCCGGCAGGCTCCTCGATCTTCCTCTTCCTAGTTCTGTTGGGCAGGGAGAGGAAGCAGACGGGCTCGTCATCGTCAATCTCCAGACGTATCCTCCTTATCCGTTCGCTCTGCCTGGACTGCACGTACACCTTCCTCTCGCGCTTCTTCCTTCCCGCCTTGCTGTCGACGGAGTTCTTACCGGAGACCACGATGCCGCTGGAACTGGTGGACTCGCGGATCGCGTCACTCGTCCTGCTCTCGCACTTGCTGGAGTCCGACATTCGTACACTGACCGAGTTCGAGGGCGATGCCGGGTTAATCGGGTCCGGGCTGAGGGTCTGCAGGAATTCCGTCACACGGTTCTCGCCGAAATTGAACACACTGCTGTCTTTAGTGTCCGCCGTGGCCGGTTTCGTGTCTTTATTGCATTCGTCTTCAGTCTTTTTGATTTCGAGGGAGAGTTTGGTTTTGTTGGATAGCGGCGTCACGGGCACGCTCTTTAGGGAGCTCTCGCTGGTAAAAGACGACGACGAGGAGCTGTTGTTCTCCGAGGAGCTCTTCTTCATCCGCCTCCTCTGGGCTAGTTTCGCGTTGAGCACGTCCTGTAGCCTGAAGCCCTCCCTCTGGGCTTTGTGGAAGGCGTTGAACGTGGTCTGTAGGCTCTTCTCCGCCGAGGTGCCCGCCAGGAGTACGTCGGGTGTCATGAGTGGCGTCTGGGGGAAGCTCTGGCTGCCTCGGACCCACGGGTTGTTCTTCAGGTCGTGCATCCGTAGTCTCAGGTTGGGGTTGACGGTGAGCAGGCCCTGAACCACGTGCTTCGCCTCGCTGCTCACCCCCACCCAAGCGGGCGAGTCAAAGCTGAAATCACCACCCTTGATCCTCTGCATGATGGAGGAGACACTCTCGTCCCTCGAACGGGCGTGGAAGGGGGCCTTTCCGCAGAGCATCGTGTACAAGATAACGCCCAAACTCCACAGGTCGCAATTTTCATCGTAACCCTCGGGGTCACCTTTTAACACTTCGGGTGCTGCATAGTGGAGGGTGAAGCAGGGAGTATGCAGTGGTTCCTTCTCTTCTTTCAGTCTCGCGAACCCAAAATCTATAATCTTGATCTCGGCTTCATCGTCGGCGGACGTGAAGACCAAGTTTTCCGGTTTCAAGTCGCGATGGACGACGCCACGCGAGTGCATGAAGCTCACAGCCGAGACGAGCTTTCTCAGGATGCCGGAAGCTTCTGATTCGGTAAACTTGGATTTCTGCCTGATCCTGTCGAAGAGCTCTCCCCCTTTCAAGTACTCCAGGACGAGGTAAGTGAAATTCTCGTCTTGGATGAACTCGTAGAGGGTGACGATGTTGGGGTGGCCCTGGCAAGCCCTCAGGAGGTTGACCTCTTGGGTGCAGTCCCTGGCCCTGCTCACTATCTTCACAGCGAACTCCTTGCCCGAGGCCTTGTGCACGCACCGTCTACATATGGAGAAGGTGCCGTCGCCTAGGATCTCCTCGTCGAAATTGATGTCGTACAACTGGAAGAACGGCGAGTTGGACAGCTGCGAGTTCTGCAAGCTGACGCTGCCGTGTAGCTTGTTGGGCTTGAGAATATCGTCGGAGATGGCGTTTTTGGAGAACAACACCGAGGGGGCGACGTACGAGTACCCCTTGAAGATCTTGTCGTAATTGGGCGGCACGACGGCTGGCGAATCTGTCGGGGGCATAGTGGTGAATTCCTCGCTGAAGTTGGACACGTCCAGCTCGTTTCTGAAAAATAAAAAGTAAATTGGTATCGGTGATGACTCGCAAAAATTGAACCGGTCATATTTTGACAAATTTGACCACATACGGTTCTTTAGGTGATGATTTCTAGGCTAGCATAGAGAACATTGAGGACAAAAAAATTTTGAATGAAATTTAAAAATTAAAATACCTGAAATTTTGGAAAAGTTGCACATATACTTATGTACAAAATATTTGTTTTCACATCTTTTGTGTGTTGTGTCACAAACACCTGTTCGCATCTATCAGCTGATTATGAAAAAAAGATAAATTTGCACATATTCGTGCAACCCTTTTCGAGATCTCAGTGTCGGCAACCCAAATTTATTTTCTTATTTTGCAAATTTCTTTGTCACAAAAGTTCCTTTGTCGGCCTAGAAATCAATATATGCCCACTACAGTTTTTTAGAGCCGTCATTGAATAAAACTTAAAATAAATAAATGTGTTATTTATCATTTTTTATAAAACCAGATTTATAATTCCCAAAACTTTCCACACGATTAACATAAAATCAAATTTCTAAGCGATTAGAACCAAAATAGTCACTTGTTTTATGTGAACAGGTTTACAAGCAGAGAAACGACATCGTAAAACATTGTTTCTCGTGCTTTTATTAGCAAATATACACAAGTATGTGGCCCAAACTCACCTAATGATAGGTTTAAACGGAGCTGGGATTTCTTTAAGAGCGAGCTTGTCCCAGTCCAAGCTCTTGAAGAAAGAATGCCTTTTCAGTTCCTTGGCATCTCCTTCGCCACCCCCTAATCTCTTCCGAGGGTCTTTCACTAGTAGTTTAGTTATGAAATCTGCCACATCCTTACCAAGGGCTGTAATAATACAAAGATACGTAATTTTAAATAACCTTTAATATTTAGAATGGTATATATTTAGTTTAAAGTGGTGACCTAGATAGTCCCATGAAAGTGTTACAAGTGCCAGATAATACTTATATCAGCATAACATTTGTTCATTCAATTACGGTCGGTTACGGGACAATTTTTACACCCAACTTTGTATTACATTAAAACAATTTTGTCGAATCATTAATAAAGGTTTATCACCATTTTTCATTTGCACAGACAATGAACTTTATTGAATAGGAATTTCTCATTGGAATGGTGACTCACGTTGCCTAAATTCTTATAAAATGACTAAGGTAATTGTATCTAGGCAAATAACATGATTCAATGGGTACAACAACATAAATAATACCCTGGTTTAAAGTTTAATATTCATAAGGAACATTCCACTACTATATGGAACAAAAATTGGAAGAGTGTTGTCGTAGAGGCTCTATTACATCATAAAATACTTACAATCTGGTATTGGAGGGGTAGTTTTCAATATCCTTCTAGAGATTTCTTGTTGAGTATTTCTCTCGCCCTCTACGGTAAAAGGCGACGCCCCGGTGAGAAGTTCGTATGTGAGGACCCCCACGGACCACCAATCCACAGCCTGTAATAAAAATTGCAAAATTTAGAAGCTTACGATAACTTTACCTATATCCTTAAATTATCTTTATAACCAAACGCATGTTTAATAAATAAAATTAATTGTTGCAAACTATTATGCACATAAAATTTAACACATCTTTACTATATAGAGAAAGTCTTTAGTTGTAAGACTGTAATTCAACTTTCACTGTTTCAAAACTGACCTCAACTATCAATCCGGTATCAGACTCAGATTTTGATGTTAATAAAAAGCAGAGATATAGTTGCTTAAAAGAAAATTAACTAAATAATATAATTTGTACTATCAAATGTGTTACAGTTTTTAATATAGAAAATAAAAACTAGATATTGGTGGTGTACTTCAATGCCCGTCAGGGCAAATACCCAGCGGAGTAGTTGTTACCCACAATATGATTTGTTTAAAGCAAAAGTCCCTGGACTGGAAATTCAAACAATCCTCTAACGACTTCATTGATGAATATCATTAGTTTTTTTCTTAGTGACCAAGAGTGAATTGTAATTTAAATAGAGAATGCCTGAGTCGCTTGAACAATACAATATCTTGATATACGAATTACTAAGACGTATTTTTTTTAAGAACAAAGTTGTGTTCCTGCTTGTCATTAAAAATTATCTGGGAAGTCGCTTTTCTAGAATATCGCCGTTTCGCGAATATTTCCATTATTCATTTCTATAAGTACGCATGCGAATTTCAGAAAAAAACGGTTATAAATAGACTAAAAATAAAATACTGTGTAAGGCTTCCAATTTTTCCAAGGACGTATTCATAGAACTGCTTCCAGACAGGTTATTATGAGACTCGGTGCGGGAGATTGCAATTAAAGCGACGCGAACTGGTCAAATGACCATATTCGTATTTTTAATGTAGAGTTTGCGTTAGTAACATAGGTCACGGACGTTTTTCGTGCGATTACAATAAATACCGCGTACGAAAACATATTATCGAAAATAGGTACTTGAGATATGAAAAATAAAAAAACCGTACGCAATAACATTCGTTTCAATCTCCTAGGGTTGTTGTCATCATCATATACATACAGATCCCAGTTAATTTCGAAACATTAATTAATGCATGCAAACAAGGCACCGACATCATATTAAATACTGTTAAACGGAATATCCTACTTTCACTGTTGTGGTCTTCGCCATCTTCGTCCAACGGCAGGTACGACCACGACCACTCTCGTCGACTGAAAACGTAGAGAAAGGACAGAAGAAAGGGGCAAGGCTACCCAGCCGTACAAACAACAATAAATAAGTTTATTATTGCAAAATTGGAGTTGGGTTAGCTCGCCGTATCTTTTTCCAGTTAACTGGCCATAATCGCTTTTAGCGACCTCATTCGACGCGTATTGACACTTATATTGGTGCAAAAGATTTATAAACCCATTTATTTTACCATGGAAGAATGTTAGCATTTTTCCGATTGAAAAGAAAACCGATACCAGCCCAGAGATAAAAATAACCGGACAGAATCACGATCACGGGCGTAAAATCCAGGAAAGTGACACAATCGCGAAATAGCCCGCCGCCCCCCTTGGAATGTTGGCCGTCCGCCCATGCCGGCGTTCCGTTTGGGCAACGTTGGCAATCGCCTGACCCACTTGCTTGGGCCGTTTGAGCAGCGAGCTCAGTAACTATAATACACTGCTCAACGCGGAAAATGTACATATTATAAAGGTGTACAACTCAAATTTAAAAAAATATTGTTGAGAACATGCAACATCATCTTTTATACGATACGTCTTCATAAAAATGGTTTTCTCTTTGCACATCGATAAGTTTATGATTTCCGCCCAAGTATAGAGTTTTTACCGAGGGATGGACACCTTGCAAAATGTGTGCACCAAAATCAAACTTAAAATTCATTTGGATTATTTGTGGCACAGAAAATGAGGTTTTAACGTAACTATTAGTTTATTATTCCTATAAACTGTCGCATTCCACTTGAAGATACACAGTTCACTAAAAATATTAATTAAACAACTTACAACTACTTAAAAGAAAAACACCGTCCGTGAAAGTAACAAATCGACAAATACGGTCAACCCAACAACTTCAATATAGCTGTCGCCAGTAGGATTGATCGAATTACCAGAAAATTTTGATTTTTTTATTCTAACTGCAATGTTGGCTGCCTACAATCGACAGGGGCATTTTCACTGTCGGCCGGCGTATATTTCCCAGCATATCCTCATAACTGTATCCGCAATTCCGACGACGTAAACAGTTAAGTTGGATGGGTTCGATGTGTGACGCCCCACGTTACTTTTATGCAAATCTCGAATGGACCGGAGTGGTTTTCCGATACGGAACTATTCGGGATGATTTACGCCGCGTTTTGCCCGACGTCATGTGCATAAATGCGACCCAGATGGGATACGGGATGGGCGGGGGTCGAGCCGATGTTTAAGCGTATCCGTGCTCCGAGAGCTGTTGGCCATATGCTGGACTGCAGGGTCAGAAATCTGCGCACATTTTAATGGACGTATTAAAGATAACGGATACGAGTTATGCAATACGCCGATCGAAGAAAACGCGAAGCGAATGGGGTATACACTTGTTAACCTGCTAGAAGCTGGACCATAAAAAATTATAATCGCTCGGTGGACCGATGTAGATGCCTAATTGATAAGTGAAATTTTTACGGCTTGTTACAAAAGAAGCCAGTTGGTGTGCTCGCTTAGCGTTACGGGACACGGTAGAGGCGCTCAGGAAGTTCGTGGGGCCTTGTTAGAGGTGTTCTAGTTTCATTTCCTCGCAGATTAAAAGTTACATCTTTGAGGGAACAACTTAATTAATTGTGGATAAAAATTCGCTGAGTTTGTCAACTCAGGCAGAGATGCTACGAAATACCGTTACTCGGAACCTCAGAATTTTGACGCCACTGAATATTTCGGAAATTGGATACGTTCGGATTTATGTTTCTAAAAAAAATGGATGTATTGAACATCAAAAGCGTACTAGGAGCTCAGTATATGACGGTTTTTATATCCGAATTCTTGACACATGCACCGATTGACGTGAAATTTTAACAGTAAGTAAAAAAATTGCTCAAGAAACAAAAATTACATAGTGCCGATGTGTGCTTTCACCCTGGGGGTGGCAGTGAAGGCACCCATTTTAATCGCAAAAATCAATAAATTCTAAGCAAAAAATGTTCTATAACGTTTTTTCCAAAAATTATTTCCGAGTTATTTGCGATTGAAAATGTTGATTTTTCATCTAAAAAGTGCGTGTTTTTTAATAATTTTTGATAAATAACTCGAAATCCTCGAGTTTTATCGAAAACCCCATAGAAAGTAAAACTAAATCTTTTGAAATAACGAATCGATTCATTTTTTGTTGATTACCGTAGATGTAATAATCACCGAGTTATCACTCTCTAAAGGTGATTGTTTATTTTACCGTAAAATAATGGCTACAGAAATAATTTTTTAAAGTGCTTGGAACGACCTTTAAAATGTTTTTTGAAAAAATTTCGTAGCTCAAAAACTCGCGGAGTTATGATGAAAATAAAATGGTCATCTCATTTGTACGGAGAAAAAATCAACAATAAAATCTATGGCTGAACCATAAAAATAGAAACTAAGCGTATTCCATGTACAGTTGACTTTATTTAGATACTAATAATAGGCTGTGCAAGTTTGACCGGTTCAGAATGCCTAAATTTTAAAAAAGTCTGAAATAAAAAAAAATGTTTTTAATTAAAAAAAAAAATCCTTTTTTTTCGAAATAACTCAAAAACTAAACAAGATACTTAAAAAAATGCAAGAGTTCAAAATTAAAGGTCTTTTTTTATAATATTTTTGCTCTTTCAATTTTTCTGTAGAGCAAAAATTAACTGAGACATTACGTTTTTTAGTTTGTATTTGCGTGTAAGGACCACCTTCTTTGAATTCTTAAAACCTAAAAATCTCGAAAACGAAGAGTTCAAAACCCTTCAACTATAAAGGTTGATTTGTAGCTCTTGCAATTCCCTGCAAATTGCTTTTAGGAGCGATGAAAAATATTAAAAATTAAAAAAGTTATCGTGAAAAAACGAATTGTATTATTCAGTGAAAATGATCGGATCGTGTAAATGAAAATTCTCTCTAGCCAATCAAAATGTTCAACCAGCCTGCACCCGAAGAACTTTTAAAAATGATATTTTGCAATTGCAAAAAAGGATGCGGTGCGACTTGCAGTTACCGCAAAGTTGGACTCTATTATAATGCGACATGCGGAACATGTTCTGGGAACAGTTGCCAAAATTGTCCTCCGATCACGGACCAAACAGAGGAAGTCGACAGTGATGATAGTTCCTTAGATGATATGTAAATTTTTGATAATAAAGTATAATTGTATAATACACAAATAATTTTTATTTTCCCTTTGACTAATAATTTAAGTAATAATCGTCGAATTTAGTAATGTATCGTTGAGTGTTTTTGAAGCAAGTAAAAATTCTTCAATTCCTCATTAAGGGTTGTTTTTAAGAGTTGAAACGTTGCAATGAATCATCAGTAATATTATAAACAGTGACGAGTCTTTCATTCATTATAAATGCTATGAAGATGTGAAAAAAAATGTTTGCTTTATTTTCTGCGATAACGGTGGTTTTTAAAGGTTGAAACGTTGCAATAAATCATGTATTATTTCATAAACAGTAAAAAATATTCAATTCTTCATTACTGTTCTGTCAAAACATTTCAGAGCCGCGAAAACTAATTTTTGTTTTTCTTCCTCATAAAGGGTGAATGTTAAGGGTTGAAATGTTGCTACAAATCAAAAATTATTATTCAAAACATAAAAGAATGTTTATTCTATTGACATAACATATCTATGGTTTTTACGTTTTTTGCAGGAAAGGATAGTTTTCACCCCCTAAAAACAATAAGCACACATTATGGATATGTAACTTTTGTAAAGGAAGGTGAAATTAGCTTACCCAGCAATTTTCATGAAAATCGGTGCTTGTGTCAAGAATTCCGAGGTAAT